CAAAGCAAAAATATTTGATGCACACATACAAAACAAAAAATATATATATTCATTTCAATGTCCAAAGGGTGCATTCTTCAAGCCAACCTCCTGCCCAAAGGCACAGAGCCTTACTCAGTCCATGGGCCTAGAGCCTGCAGCTGCTCTTTCTTTCCATGCCACCACCTGTGTCTCTGCTGTCACCACTTTTTTAGGTAGGATCTCATGCTTCACTCATGCCCTTCCTTCTTGATGATTCTGGAATCATGTGTTCATGAAATGAAAGACTAACTACTCCCCCATGTTAGTTACACATATTCTACAATTTCATTTTTAGATACTCATCTTTTATGATGTTTAACAAGGCATTTACAAAAAAAAAAAAAAAGGTATTTGCAATAAACAGGTTATGGGTCTTGTAAAATTCTATCATGCGATCGCCAACATAATTTCTACCACCAAGGCTGTTTTCCAACTACTGATCCTTCCTCTTGTTTCCAACCTTTGCATTCCAATCACCAGTTATAATCAATTCATGTTGATTGCATGTTTGATCAATTTCAAACTGAAGAAGTTGGTAGAATTCTTGGCTTTAGTGGTTGGTGTGTAAATATGAATCACAGTGCTATTTGATTGGTCTTTCCTGTAGGTGTATGAATATTATCTTATCATAGACAGCATTATACTTCAAGATAGATCTTGAAATGTTCCTTTTGATGATGAATGTAATGCCATTCCTCTTCAATTTGTCATTCCTGGCATAGCAAACTATATGATTGTCAGATTCAAAATGGCCGATATCAGTCCATTTCAGCTCATTAATGCCTAGAATATCAACATTTATATGTTCCATTTCATTTTTAACAATTTTCCTAGACTCATACTTCACACATTCCATGTTCCAATTATTAATGGATGTTTACAGCTATTTCTCTTCATTTTGAGTTGTGCCCCAGCAGTAGATGAAAGTCCTGAAAGCTTTACTCCATTTGAGTCATCATGGTCAACTCAACTTTGAGGAGGCACTTCTTCCCCAATCATACTTTGAGTGCTTTCCAACCTGAGGGGCTCGTCTTCCAGTACTATATCTGACAATATTCTGGTGCTATTTATCATGTTTCAATATTCAATATTCTAGTGCAATCTGACAGTAGTATTCCACTGCTATTCATAAGGCTTTCAGTGACTAAACATTCAGAAATAGTCTGCCTTAGTCTGGAAGTTCAGCTGAAAGTTGTCCACCATTGGTGCATGCTGATGGTATTTAAAATACTTGTGGCATAGCTTCCAACATCACAGCAACATGCAAGTCACCACAGTACAACAAACTGACAAACGAATGGCAGAGACAGAACAATTAACAATGACAAAATACAGAGGGCTAAAGGAGTTCTAGTATATTGCTGTAGGTTACATATTGGACTGCTAACCACAAGATCAGCAGTTCAAACCCACCAGTCACTCCTTGGAAACCCTGTACAGGATTGCTATGAGTCAGAACTGGTTTGATGGCACTTACAAGAAACCACAAAGGGAGCAAAAATTTTGAAAAAGAATTCTGATGAGCCTAAGAAGGCCACATCCAGAGGAGAGGAAATAATTTTGCAGTGTTGGAGGACCAATGAAAGCTATGGAGGGAAGGGGAAAAAAAGTATCAAAAACAGCAGGATTGAATAATTTGAGTAAGTATTAGTACTTGGTTTTCAGAATGAGGTAAAAGATCATAAACTCAAATCTTCTTTGTATACATAATAAAGAGGAGAAAGAGAAATAACTAGACCACAGAGTACTCTTGGGGAAGAAATTAGGAAATTGTTTTTTTAATTTTAAAGTGTTTAATTTATATTACACACAGTATTGGAATTGATGTAATGTCTGATTAAAATGCCACCTCCCATTCAGTATGTAGTCAGAGGTTCAAACTCATGAAGATTCTTCAGCAATTTTTAGAAACTCTGTCTCTATGAGGTTTCTCTACTGTGGCTATAATACACTTTAATAATGTCTACCTATGCCTACATTTAATTCTAGAGATTGTGTGGAGCAGAGATTACATGCTTTGTGCTTTTTCTAGCATTTCTCTTTAACCAACTTACAAACCCCATTAAACTAAATTGTTCCATAACAGCAAAACTCTGATTCTCATTTAGATCGTTTTCTCAACCTTAGGAAAGGCATGCCAACCCTACTTAGCAGGATTCTGTTTTGTTGTCTCAAAGCCTCGAGCTCCTATTTGACTTTCATTGGCTTTTACAGAAAGTTATTGAGTTTTTCAGAGGAAATGGTACATAATACATAATCGGTTACTTATTTTCATTTTTTCCTATTACATTGTAGGCTGCTGTCCTAATATAGGATAGTTTTCTTCCTTATAAAGCAGACAAAGTTCATCTGGGCTTCAAAAAATATGAAGCATGCATCTAAAGCCAGAGAATCACAGAATTAAATGCAACCTATAGTCCTGGTATAGCATAATGCGTCAGACTGCAAAATCATTTGAACTGCAAGATTGGTGGTTCAAGCTCACCAGCTGCTCCTTGGAAACCCTATACAGGGTCACTATGAATTGGAATCGCCTCGATGGCACTTAACAACAACAACAAGAACTAATATAAATTTAACCTTCTCATTTTTAAGATAGAGAAATCACATGTGCTCAGCCAATAATGAAAAAAAGGTTGGTGGTTTAAACCCACCAGCTGCTCCACAGGAGAAAGATGTAGCAGTCTGCTTACATAAAGCTTTGACTATTCTATGGAGCAGTTCTACACTGTCTTAAAGGGTCTCTATGAGTTGGCAGTGGGTTTAGTTTGGGTTTGATGAGAGAAAATGACCTATGTGAGGCTACATGATTATACTAGAGTCAGTATAATGTCATGTAAACCATTAGGTTAACTTTCTCCGTCTATTAAAATTCAGGTCTGAATTTCTTCCTTAGAGCCAAGATTAGGCTACTGCAGAATTCATTTGCATAATGCTCTGTAGATTTTGGTAAGGGGTCTGTCAGTTTGTCGTACTGTGCTGGCTTGTGAGTTGCTGTGATTCTGGAAACTATGTCACCAGTATTTTAAGTACCAGCAGGGTCACCCACAGTGGACAGGTTTCAGATGAGCTTCCAGATGAAGACAGACTAGGAAGAAGGAGTGACGAAATACTTCTGAATATTTAGTCACTGAAAACCTTATGAATAGCAGAGCAACACTGTCAGATATAGTGCCAGAAAATGAGCCCCTCAGGTTGGAAGGCACTCAAAAAGACCCCCAGCGAGATGGATTAGCAAAGTGGCAGCATCAATGGGCTCAAGCATGGCAACAATAGTGAGGTTGGTCCAGGATAGGGCAGTGTTTCGTTCTGTTATGCATAATGTCGCTATGAATCAGTACTGACTTGATGGCACCTAACAACAACAACGAAGAATGAATTAAATAGTAACAACTCAAGTCCAGTGGTATAGTCTTACATGAAGTTGTCTAGTTTGCTTTGTGGAGGTGGGTTAACTCCAAAGTTATATGTGAATAAGTAAATGAGACCTACTTTCCAACTTTGCCTTCAAATTGGACAACTGCTTGAAAAATTGGATAGGGAATCATAGGTCCAAGTTAATGATCCAGTGTGGTCCTTTCTTTAGCCCCTACCTCTGATTTTAGCAGTCATAAACATTTTGCTAGTAGGGTTGGATATTTCTTTGCTCTATTGGAAATTTTTCTTAGACTACAAAAATTCCCATGATCCTTTTCAGAACTATCCCAAGCAAATGCTAGGACACCCAGCAAAATAGTTAAAGAACAGAGAGGAACATGTAGTTGAGTGGGGGGTTCGTCTAGGGAACTCTTGAAAAGTAAAATAAATTAGGTTCTATGGCTAGCTAAAAGGAGCCTTGTTGGGGTAGTGGGTTACACTTTGAGCTGCTAACCACAAAATCAGCAGTTTGAACCCACCAGCTGCTCAACGGAGAAAGATGACGGGTTTCTGATTTTATAAAGATTTCTAGCCTCAAAAACCCTATACAGGGTCACTAAGAGTCAGAACCAACTCAATGGCCCACTACCACCACCACCATGGCTAGCTAAAGGGAGTCCTGGTAGAACAGTAGGCTAAGCCTTAGGCTGCCAACACAAGGTCATCTGTTTAATCCCACCAGTTGTCCCAGGGTGGTAAGATGAGGGCTTCTACTCCCATAGATGTACAGCCTCTGAAACCCTAAGGAGCAGTTCTGTTATGTCCCATAGGGTTATTATAAGTAGGATTTGGCACCATGGCAGTGGGTTTTATATGGCTAGTTAAAATGAAATGGTAGTTTCTTTCATCCTACACTATCTCACACAGATTTCAAAGTTAAGATAAATACTCTCAAGCTTATATTTGTCTGAACTTGTATGTATAATATTTGTATATAAGCAATATGCTCATCATTTATCCACTATGACTATGATATTGGGAAACAGCAAAACCATGCAATAATGTAGACTTTATTTTTAAGTATTGAAATGTGAGATAAATGTTGTCAGTTTAGGTAAAAAATCAAGGAATGAAGGCAAAAGCTAAACATGACAAAAGGATCAACTTAACCCTTTCATGACCTGTGAGACATATAGTGTCCACCTACATTTTCTGTCACTGGAGTTTAGTAGGAAACTGCTATCCCACTTTTAGTGTGTGCCACCATCTTGTAGAGACCTGTATTACCTGTGTGAATCTGAAGAAATAGTCCTCATCCCACCAGCCCCAGCACCAAAGACCCTTTTGGGATATATGCATCCCACTGATAGTATAAAAAATTCATATTACTGCAAAAAAAAATTTTTCTTCATTTCATTCAAAATGCCTTCCATCACTGAAACACATAGTTTCAACAAAATCTTCAAAGCAGAAAATAATTTGGTCTTGAAAGAGTTAAATAATACCAATACTGATGTCTCTGGGTTATCTGACAGTGGTTACCTGATTAAGAAGGAATTCCCTCTTCCTAGAGTATTCCCTTCTTCCCACCCAAACTTTATTTCTTTTTTCCTCTTTCTTGATCACAGACCATTGGGTCTCTGCAAATCTAAATTTTCACAGGGAGGAAGTCGAAAGTAGTTGGAGCGACGGAGTCGTCTTGGGGGCAGGCCAGCCATCTGTCGGCACAGCTCATCTAGAAGAGAAGATAAGTATGATGGGATAAGAAAGCAGGAAGATGCCAAAAGCTCATGTTCTAAGGGAAGGAGAAGACTTTGCAGTGTAGTGGTATCAAAAGATGGAAGAGAAACAAATTTGGGGTAGATCCCAAGTTCTACCACTTACTAGAAAGTTTCTTAACTTTTCTGAAGTTTATTAATCCATTCTATAAAGTAAGCATTCAAATACCTACCTCAACAGTGTAGTTGCATGTATTAAATGAAAGTAATGTATACAAAGTAACAAGCACAGTATTTGAAGCATAGCAGGTGGTCAGTGACAGATTCCCTAGCTCCCAATTTTTCTAATTATGAACCTATTAAATAGAAAAATAAGGATCAATCATTCAATATATATGTATTTATTTTGTACAAATAACTAACTTTAGTAAATCCCCTAAGACACTTGAAAATGCCTACTCTTGTTCTTCTTGTTAGATGCCGTCTAATGAGTTCCAACTCATAGCAAGCCTATGTACAACAGAAGGAAATGCTGTCCAATCCTGGGCCATCCTCACAATTGTTCATATGTTTGAGCCCATTGTTGCAGTCACTATACCAGCCCATCTTGAGAGGGGTCTTCTTCTTTCTCATTGGTCTTTTGTTTTACTAAACACAATGTCCTCTCCAGGGACTGGTCCTTCTGATAACATGTCCAAAGTATATGAGATAAAGGCTCACATCCTCACTTCTAAGAACAATTCTGGTTATACTTCTTATTCTTCAATATTCTTCACTAACACCAAAATTCAAAAACATCAATCCTTCTTCCATCTTCCTTATTCATTGTCCAGTTTCCACATACATATGAGGTCATTGAAAACACCATGACTTGGATCAAGCACACTTTAGTCTTCTAAGTGACATCTTTGGTTTTTAATACTTTAAAGAGGTCTTTTACAGCAGAATTACCACTGCAATCAGTCATTTGCTTTCTTTACTGTTGCTTCCATGGTCGTTCATTATGGATGCAAGTAAAATGAAATCCTTGACAGCTTCAATATTTTCTTCATCATGATGTTGTTCATTGGTCCATTTCTGAAAGTGCCTCGAGTCCCAAATACTCATCTGCAATCTCAAGGGGCCCTTGCAGGTGGCTTGCCCAGAGCCAAGTGGGAAAAGCAATAAGTTTCCTTCTGCGAAGTTAACTACAGCTCTTACTCAGAAACTCGGTGCAAAGCAGGGTGCTGAGTCAGAAGGGACTGTGTCTGTGGTGCCTTCACCAACCACAGTCATCGTTTGGGGATGGTTATGGGGAAAATGAGAAGTGTCTTTGTTCCCACCTTTCATGGTCTATAATCACACGCTTGAGACTATTATAATTGCTCTAATAGTCTTCTCTCCTACATGTGAAATTTCACAATAAGCAATGTAAACTTTTCCTGAAATTGGACTATGTTTATAATGTAGTTAGTTTCTGAATGTCCAATCTGTTTTTTATCTATAGATTCTATGCAAACCTTACCATCTCCAAATTAGTGTGTGTTTATTGGTTTTCCTTTGCATTTTTAGTGATAAACATGGCTGCTGATTAGGCAAATCTGCTCTCCATAATGAATGGCTTGCTCTTTTCACCTAGAACCCCAGTGAATGAGCTTCAAAGTTGGAAAGGACGTAGGATATTTTTCTTAGGTAGTGTTTGTATCTTAAGCATATTGTTTTACTTAGCTTGTTTTATTTGGAATAACTGGAAAACAGCTGACAGACGCTAAGGGGGTAAATTGAACCCCTTCTTGTTTGGCCCTGCTTCACAGTGTCTCTTTCTCATGGCATCCTTCCCCACTAAACACTCAGACATCATCTTACCTTTCATAGCTTCATGTTCCTTACAGACAAGACGAGAACATATTTCATTGTTGATGATGTACATACGCCGTAAACTGCCATAGTCCAGATGCCACAGTCAAGGAAGAAGATGGAAAAGTCATTGAGAGGGAGGACTATTCTAGGTCCAAAATGCTTTTTTAACTCCTGTATTCCCCACTGTCTTCTATCTTTCCTCCTCCATCCCCAATCTGAATCTCATTAAGTATTTTGGACTTTTTTTTCCCCCCTAGAGGTATGTAGGAGATAAAAATGTGTTCATTACTCTTGTTGGTGACACTTCGCACATTCTTTCACTTAGAGCTGGGCTTAATACTCTTTCCCACTATTTACTACCCTCTTAGTCATATCTTTTGCTTCAGTTTCTATCAGATAATAACATCAATGTAGCAGAGTTTCCCTCACAACCTTCCTTTCTTCAGCCCTCACCTTCACTTGTCTTAGAACATCTAGGCATGCCAGTCATCCTATTTTCTGCACACCTCAACCCAGATTCCAGGTTCTGCTTGGCACCTTCAAGAATAGCTAAGAGGGTTATGCTAAAAAAATTTTTGTTCTATCAAAGACTGAAATTCCATAGTAGGTGTTCGTAATGAAAATGCTAGCAGGAAGATGTTCTATGGACATTCTGGGATTCCTTACCTGGTGAGGCATAACTGATGAATACACTGCTTGACTGGTCGATGCACAGAGTAGAGTCTTGTGCAAGGAAATTTCTCATCTCGACACTCTGAAGGAACCCAACATAATAAATAAGAAGGTGCCAATAGGAGAGATATAAATAATGAGTGAAAGGGATAGGAAAGTTGAAATAGAGTGAGAGGAAACTCAGAATAATCTCGACAGAGAATCATCAGAAATTGGGACATGTCCTTTTTGTTCAACAAAGCAGAGCAAGGGGGATTTGGTTAAATTGAAATTTAGGTGCTTCCCTACCTGGAAACAAGAGTGCTATATAATAATCTCTGAGGATTCTAGTAGTTGAAGTCCTTGTAAGATTATCCAAGTGGCAAGGTAAAAGACTACCTGAATTTTCACATAATTCTATTCTGAAGAATGAGAATTGTCAGGTAGGTTACTATTCTGCTGTTTCAGTAGTACATATTAGAATCATCAGTCCATTAATGAAAGCAGTTTAGCCCAATTTATTTCACTTCCCAAACTCATGAACCATCAAACAAATTACACGGGTAGGTTAGGAAAAGGGATATTTCAGGACTGTGCAGTAGTGGTCTTATCTATTTTGCTGTGGCTTTTAGGCTTCGGTTTTTTTGTTTTTTTTTTTTTTTTTTTTTTCAGAAAGAATAAAAAAGGGATAGCAAGGACACCAAAAAGGCTCTCTCAAAAAGAACTGGAAGTAAACTTAAAAGACATACCAAATACCCACCAGGGAACTAGGAGCTAAAGAAGCCACAAGAAGAAAAAGAAAAAGACATGCAAGAGACAATCATACCTGTGGTGGTATTTTTGTCATTAGGCGAGGCTGAAAGGCAGAGATTTTATTCAGTTTTTACTAGTTCCAGAAGTGACTGCCTCTGTATCTGTTATGATACTTCATTTAGAAACCACTTTGGAGCTCCATGAATACAGAACAAAGATTTAATAAGTCTTTTAGCAATTTCTAGAACAAAAACCTATGATGCCACAAAACTGAAGAGATTTAGGAGTTTGGGTGGAAAGATGGATTTTGTTCTACTTTCTTAACCAGAGACTTATAAAACCCATTGTACTCTATCTTTATTGTTGACAAGATTCAAATTTAATAAGAAAACAAGGCAAAAAGTCATATGCCCTGAAGAGCTTTATCCTAGGGTTAAGAAAGTGAACTTTCTGCAGTCCTGGTGTGGTGCTGTAGGATAAGCACTAGACTGCTAACTGCTTTGGTCAGCCATCCATACCCACCAGCTGCTCTTCAGAAACCCTGTACAGGATCACCATGAGTTGGAACTGACTCAATGGCTCTTAACAACAATGAGAGGGAAAGGATCATTATACTGTAGAAGCTCCTCCTCATAAAAGAAAATATCTTCTCAGTAGATTAGACACATTATCAGGGTGCTTTGATTAAAGTAGTTAGGTAAGGGATAGAGTCATAGCCATAGGCAAGCCTAAGCTTTATTGTTGTTGTTGTTGTTGTTGTTAAGTGCCATCGAGTTGGTTCTGACTCATAGCAACCCTGTATGGGGTTTCCGAGTAGCAGCTGGTGGGTTCGAACTGCTGACCTTGCAGTTAGCAGTCCAAAGCTCATCCTACAATGTCATGCCAGGACCCCCTAGGGACAAGTTAAATATGGATCTAGTTCCCAGAAGGGAGAATATGTTATGGAGTAAATTGAGTGTTGCAGGAATAGACTATCCAGGAAAGTTGTTATTGGATGAATTAGTAAGAGATAGGATGCAAGGAAATGTGCTAGGCCTTTCTCATATATCCCATAATTTTAATTATATGTTCATGTGCTGATAATTCACAAATCTATATTTCTTGTCCAGATCTCTCATGAACTCCAAACCTATAAATCCAACTACCCTTTTGTGGTACAGTTCTTGAATTTTTAAATTTTATCATATCTCAAACTGGATATAGCAATTCAAGTTCATTTTTTCTCTTCACTAATTCAAGGTATTTTTCAGTGGAGGAGACCACCATCTACCCAATAATCACATCTAGAAATCTGGATATCATCTCAACAAGTCATTTTTCCTTATGCTCAGTTCTCACTACTTTTTCCTGAGTTCAGGACATCATCGTTTTTTGGAACCACTGCATTAGCTTCTCACTAGTTTTCCTGGTTAAAGGCTTACCCATTGGGAGTGGACTTTCCAATGCAGAAATCATATGAGAATCACCTCCTTTCCACTTGGCTTGACGTCCCTCCTAAGCCCATTCTCTTCACCTGAAAATTTTTCCCTCTTCTTTTTACCTGGTTAACTCTTACTTGCTTTTCAGGAATCAGCTTAACCAATGTGCCCTTTCCTAATCTTCACCACAATATATTTGATATCTTTTTCTATGTGCTTTCATAGTTTTGTTTGCTTACTCTGATTATAGCATTTTGAGTTGCTGAATCAAATGATTTGTTCACTTGTCTATTATGCAGAAGACATCTAGTGGGAGAAAATCCATTTTTTATTTTGGGGAGGTTTTTCATCTCTATATGGCTTTTGCTTTTTCATCTTTATATGGGGATGGAGTCTGTTCCAATTCAGAGTGACCCTTGTATAGGGTTTCTGAGGCTGTAAATCTGTGCAGGAGTAGAAAGCCTCATCTTTCTCCCATAAAGCAGCTAGTGGGCTCAAACAGTTGACCTTGTGGTTTGCTATCCAGTGCTTATCCTACAGAGCCACTGTACTCCCTTATATGCCTGGCTTAAAGTCTACAGACAAGAGTCAACTTCCTGTGCTAATGCTTTATTTATTTATTTATTTTTAATATTTTATTGTAGTTTGGGTGAAAGATTTCAGAACAAATTAGTTTCCCATTCAACAATTTATATACATTATGTTTTGTGACATTAAGTACAATCCCCTCAGTGTAACAGCACTCTTCCACTTCCTCCCTGTTCTCCATTGCCATTCACCCTTGGTTCCTGCCCCTGCTTGTCTTCAAAGTATGTTTGTGGGCAAATGTTTTATAGTTGATTGTTCTGAGAAACAATCCTTTATAGGCCTGTCTATTGTTTGGCTGAAAGGTGATCCGCCCCACCCCCACCCCCGCCAGGTGTAGGTTCAATTCCAGATCTGAAGGATGTCCAAGGGTCATAGTCTTAGGATGCTACACTCTCTATCAAACCAGTAAGTCCGGTCTTTTTTTATGAATTTGAATTTTGCTCTACATAATTCTCCTTTCTGTCCAGGACCTACTATTGTGATCCCAATTATAGTGATAGGTAAGGGTTGCCTAGTGTCATCTAGTTCTTCTGGTCTTAGGCTAGTTAAGGCTGTGGTTTACATGGCTTGTTAGTCCTTTGGACAAATTGTTTCCTTAAGTCTTTAATATTATTAATTCTTCTTTACTTCAGACAAGGCGAGACAAATAGTTGCACCTTAGATCGCCTCTTAAAAGCTTTAAAGGTCCCAATTGCTATTCACCAAAGTAGGTTGTAGAACATTGTCTTTGTGGTCTAAGTTATGCCAGTTGACTTAGATGTTCCATTGAAACTATGATCCTCAACCACTAATCCCAGTGACCCACTCATTCCCTCAAAAGTGTTTTTATAACTTCTTATTCTACCATATGCTTTATAGATAGTGGATATTTTTAACCCATACAAATGTAGAAATGTCCTCTACCAAACCTATATATGCTGTTGTTGTTAAGCGCCCTCAAGTCGTTTCCAACTTATAATGACCCTGTATAGGGTTTCCGAGGAGCAGCTGATGGGTTTGAACTGTAGACTTTGTGGTTCACAGCCCAGTGCTGATCCTACAGCACCACACCAGGAGTCCAAACTTAAATATGTTCATGGTTATACTAACATTTACCATCCCACACCTGTTCAGCTTGCCTGACTACCGATGTAACCACTTGCAGATTGTTTGCTATTACTATTATTTCAGGATTGTGTATGTTATAGTATTTACTTTTGTTGCCTTTTATTCCTGCATACATCCCATTGTCTTCCTTTTCCTTGGTCATATTGTGCTGATATTTTTATTGTTTATTGCCTTGTCCTTTACCCATGTTAATATGTGTCCACTTTCTAGTTAGTCATTTTCCGTCTCTCCTCCTCTCATCCCTGGTAACCATTTAAAAATGACTCTTTCTGTATGTAAACATTTTCTTGATTTCCCCTATTTGCCCCTTAGAATTTTTGCACTAGCAATTCCAATCAGTTTTCTTTATGTATCAAGTTTCATCCTGCTCTCACACCTTTGAACATGTTATTCCTTCATGATGAAATGCCTGCCCTGTTTCTTAAATGCCTGCCTTATTCCAATTCTTTCAAGATTTATTTAAGCATTACTTCTAGGATTCTTTCTTTTGTCTTCCTAAATACTAATCTGTTTATATATATATATTCATCTCCCCTTTACTCTGCCCAAAGTCTTGAAATCTTTGGAAGAAAGCACATGTCTTAGTATTTTGTATATCAAACACCTTGCACAGTTCCTGCATCGAAGAACTCTAAATGTTGATTGGTTAAACTGTAAGAAGAATGTTCTATATAAGTTGTTATGCTGTTCGCTTAAGATCCTTCACCAACTGCCTTCCCTATGGGCTCTGGGGAAATCCCAGAATGGCCTTGGTAGTCCTAGTATCCCAGATCTGAACTCACCCAGGTCATCTGTGGAAGGCTCGATATCAGCCAGAACTGAAAAGGCACAAAACAGTAGGTGTGAGGAGGGCTTTAGATTGGAAAGGGGGCGGTAGGCAGAAACGAAAAGGGAGACTAGAGATATTAAGACAAGGGTCAAGGCTACGGCTAGGTTTGTGTATTATGTCAAAGGGAGTAAAATTAATTGAAGTAACTGTGAATATTTATTGAAGAATATTGGTCCTATTGACATAGTAGCGTAGTGGTTACGAATCGGGCTGCGAACCTTAAGGTCAGTGGTTCGAAACTACCAGCCGCTCCGCGGGAGAAAGATGAGGCTTTCTACTCCCGTAAGGATTTACACCCTCAGAAACCCTGTACAGGGTCGCTATGGGTCGGAACCGACTCGACGCACTTAACAACAACATAATCTTATCCATGCCATATTTTAGCTATTAAGCCATTTTGTTCCTTCCTCTTAGAGAGCTAGAAAGTCCCTCTTTCCTTTTATCCTATCATCATTGAACAACACCCCCACAAACCCTTTGTTACTTTCCCAGAGATAAAAATATACAATTGATTCCAGTTTTGGAATTGATATTATGAATATCAACAAGAATTATGTAATTTCTTCAGAATTGCTATAGAGCGTACCTGTTTCATCTGTAGAGGGATCATTTACCAGATCTGCAAAGATATAAAACAGAGAATGAAAAATACAGATAGGAAAAATAGCAAACAGAAGCAAGATAAAGGAATGATGATCCAAAAGGGGGCAAAAGAAACTGAAGTGACAGGATGTGGGCAAATGTAAGAGATTATCATGACTGTTATATGGCCAAACACCCCATACAAAGCCACCACCCATCTGTAACTGGAGGTTTGTGTGTTGCTGTGATGAACAGGGTTCAGTGGAGCTTCCAGACTAAGACAGACTAAAAAGAAAGACCTGGAGATCTATTTCTGAAAATTAGTCAATGAAAACCCTATGAATCACAACAGTGTGATCCCCAATTGATCAAGACCAGCAATATTTTGTCCCATTGTATATAGGTCAGGGGCTGACTTGAAGAAAGCTAACAACATAACAGAAAGAAATGGAAGAGATAATAAGGTTGCACACGTTTTCAGAGTTGGTGTGTGAACTCAGAGTGCCTATCAATCTCTTTTCCAGTTTGTATTTTGTTTTGTATTATCATCCCACTAAGGTCAATATGAAAAACAAACTAACTAACTAGCTTACTTGGATCTTCTGTGAATGGTTCTTGAGTCACTTGGGTCACATCATCTGAAAAGAATATCAGAAAATATTTCTGAGCATTCCCTCTTCCTCTTGCACCTTTACACTCCCGGTAAGTGAAATTGTCTAGCACAGAACCCAACATAGTAGGTATCCCACAGTTGTTCTTCCTTCCTTGCTTTCCCAACCTACCTGCTTTCTCCTGTCACACAAACACTGTAATTTCCTCCTTCCATTAAAATACTCAAACAACCTCAGCCTTATTGTTGTTGTTAAGTGCTGTTGAGTCAGTTCCGATTCATAGTGAGTGACCCTGTAGAGGGTTTCTGAGGGCAACTAGTGGGTTGTCCACCCAACAGACATCCTTTTTCTCAATTTGGTTAAACATTAGACTGTGGAAATGCGTGGGTGTATTTTCTAGTGAGGGTTTGAAACTCAGTCGTGATTTTCTTTATACTATTGGAACTGACTTGATAAACCGTTCTTAGAAAACTGAAGTTATTTCATTGTCTTAACAGATAGTTATGCATATAACTAATTTGTAGTGACTATATGCCAGACAATTGCTTAAAGCACTTTTCATATATTATTTAATCCTCATCAAAAACAAACAACCCAGATGTTGTTGACTCCATTCCAATGATAGCAACCACAAATGTATCAGAGTAGAACTACACCATAGGATTTTTAAGACTGTGGCCTTTTAGAAACAAATCACTAGGCCTTTCCGCCATAGTAACTCTAAGTGGGTTTGAGGCACCAACCTTTTAGTTAGTAGGCAAATGCTTAACTGCTTGCAATACCCAGGGACTCCTTTAATCCTCACAAAAACAAAAACCCACTGTCACTGAGTCGATTCCAACTCATAGCAGCCCTATATAGGATTTCTGAGGCTATAAATTTTTATCTTAGAGAAAAACCTCCTCTTTATCCCAGGGAGTGGCTGATGGGTTTGAACTGCTGACCTTGTGATTAGCATCCCAGTGCTTACCTGACAGTGTCACTAGGGTTCCTCATAAGATTCTCATTTTTGTAGATAATAAAACAAACAAAAGCCCAAACTCTTTGCCACTGAGTCAGTTCCAACTCATAGAAACCATAGAAGGACCCTAGGGTTTCCCAGTTTGTAGATCTTTACAGAACAGACATCCTCATCTTTCTCCCACAGCTAATGGGTTTGAGCCACCAATGTTGAGGTTAGTAGCCCAATGCGTAACACACAATAGCATCAGGGCTCCAGATGATAAAACAAAAGCCACTACCATGAGTGACTGATTCATAGATTCTGGATGAGGTTTCTAAGGCTATAAATCTTTATGGCAATACAAAGTCTCATTTTTTCCCCCACTGAGCAGGTAGTGGGTTTGAACTACTGACTTTGTGGTTACCAGTCCAGTGCTTATCCAACAGCGATAACAACAGCCTATATCAGGAAAATAGATAATTCATCCAAGGTCATATAGCTTGTTAACAAAAAGGTCATCCCTCCATTGTGTTAATAAACAAGCTATGTGACCTTCCAACTCTTGTCTGTCAGTTTGTCGTACTGTGAGTTGCTTGTGAGTTGCTGTGATTCTGAAAGCCACCAGTATTTTAAATACCAGCAGGGTCACCCATGGTGGACAGGTTTCAGATGAGCTTCTAGATGAAGATAGACTACATATTTAGTCACTGAAAACCGTATGAATAGCAGAGAAACACTGTTAGATATAGTGCTGGAAAATGAGCCCCTCAGGTTGGAAGGCACTCAAAATGTGACTGGGGAAGAGCTGCCTCCTCAAAGTAGAGTTGATTGTGATGATGTGAATGGAGAAAAGCCCATGGGAGAAAAGCCTGCAGGACCTTAATTTGCTGATAGGGCACAGCACATAATGAAGAAAAACAGCTGTAAACATCCATTGAAAATTGGAACATGGACTGTTCATGAAGTATGAATCTGGGAAAATTGAAAGTTGTCAAAAAGGAAATGTAACGCATAAACATAGATATCTTAGGCATTAGTGAGCTGAAATGGACGGGTACTGCCCATTTTGAATCTGACAACTACATGGTTTACTATACCGCAAATGACAAGTTGAAGAGGAATGGTGTTGTCAAAAAGAACATATCCAGATCAGTCATGAGGTACAACGCTGTCTGTGATAGGATAATATCCATGTGCCCACAGGGAAGCCCAGTTAATACCACTATTATTCAAATTTACACACCAACCACTAAAGCCAGTGAGGATGAAATAGAAGAATTCTACCAATTTCTTCAATCTGAAATTGATCAAATACACAATCAAGATGTACTGATCTTTCCTGGTGATTGGAATGCAAAGGTTGGGAGCAAAGAGGAAGGATCAGTAGTTGGGAAATATGGCCTTGGTGATAGAAATGATGCTGGAGATCGCATGATAGAATTCTGCAAAACCAATGATTTGTTCATTTCAAATAGCTTCTTTAGACAGCATAGGAGACGACTATACACATGGACCTCACCAGATGGAATACATAGAAATCAAATTGATTACATCTATGGAAAGAGACAATGGAAAAGCTCCATATCATCAGTGAAAGAAGGCCAGGGGAAGACTGTGGAACAGACCATCAATTACTCATATGTGAATTCAAACTGAAGCTGAAGAAAATGAAGACAAGTCCACAAGAGCCAAAATATGACCTTGAATATATCCCACCTGAATTGAGAGATCATCTGAAGAACAGATTTGATACATTAAACACTACAGACCGAAGACCAGAAGAGTTGTGAGATGACATCATGAAAATCATA